CTACTGTATCACAGCGCATGCTACACTAATTGGGTATAGCGGCAGCCGGCCAGAGCTCATCGGCCAACTGGCGGCCAGGCATTGATTGCCACATGGTTGCATCCTGCTGCCGTTGTTGCTGTTTAGCACTGCTTGTTCCATGGTGCTACGTCGCATTGAGGTCCGAGGTGCCACCCCATTCCAAAAAAGGAGACGCTATCTAAATTACGAACCTTGCGCCACATAATGAAAAAGCACAAGGCGGTGTACAAAATCCCCCGGGTGTTCCTGTACAAACAGTTCTCACTTTTCTGTAGCAAAGCTGCGCCCACCACCCTGTCAGCACCAGCCCCCAACCCTAGGAACGTGAGGCCCTGGAGATGCAAATCGCAATCGTTTGCTTGTTCTATTTATCCAAATCAACACGTGCCTGGCTGTTGTGCTCAGATGATGCCTCCACATTGAGCTTATGTGATACTTCTTTAGCATTCCTTAGCAGGCAGTCTCAATTCACACGCCTTAGGGGTGGTTCATCCATGTGATATACAACAAAGATGTTCAGCGGCTCCCCACTCCCTAATTCTCAGCATTCCTTGGTGCATTCATAGCACATGCTGTATTCAGTTCCAGATGGTATTGAACATCTTAATCAGCACTCCAGTAGGATGTACGTTGTGTTGAATTGACAGTATGTCCAACAATGTGTACGCTGGATGCAGACCTGGCTGGATTCCAAGGACTCCTCGTTATCCTGTCCCCACAGCTTGGCCCACCTTCAATATCGTTGGGCATGGGCTTGTCTGCCAAGTATGTGCGTATACTTCTTTGCCTTTTCCAGCCTTTTCAGAACAGTTCTGAAATTGCAGGAGCTGCGAGAATGCCATGGTGGGCAAAGCCTGCGGTCGCTGCTCTAGTTGTGGTAGCAGCCGTAATGAAGAACTTTCGGCATCTCAGCAAACCGTTGGCATCCCACGAGCCACGTGCAGAACGTTGGGTGAATGAGGTGAGTCACGGAGAGGCTAACGAAAAATATGTCAAACTTCGAATTTCCATCACCGCCATATATTTAACTCTTCTGCATCATACGATTTTACCGTTGCACTTTTTGTTTCTGAGCGTTGTTGCACCATTCTCAAAATGGGGATGGAAACGAGAATGATGTCCAAAGATGTGCGCAGATGGAAGGACTATCACACTTGACAGTAGATGATGGTCTTTAAGGTTTATGCAGGGGTAGTACTCCATGCGCTCGACCACCTAGCCAGCGCCAACGGTTTTGCAGTACTGCCGTGCAATTGGCTGCGCTCAGGGTTTAGAAACAGGTAGCAGTACACTTTCCACCGTACACACAGTTTTGCATGTGGTAGTAAGTGAAGTCCCATAGGCAGACCTGCTACCCTCAGTTTATAAATAGCAACGCCTTCCAAAATAGACGTTATCGCTACTATACAAACCGGATTTTGGCCAGACAAGCACATCAAGCCATGCCAAAGTTTATTCTGGCCGTTCCTCCCTAGAAACCCCAGTTTTTCGTACAGGTTGTGGCACAACACTGCATATACCATGCGGGTTTACACATCCAGACATCCGTACTTCAGTCAGTATAAGTCAATAACTAAGATGGATTAGTAATTGCTCATGCATTCAAGCCCCTCGACCGCTGGACTGACCAAACACCCCCACCATGCCACCAAGCCGATATCCTTTTATGAAAGCACCTATCGGGTGCCGACATGCACTCCAGATCAGGACCGACCCCCAGCACTCGCGCGACATGCGCTAAGATACCCGGCATCTTGGCCCCCTGGCGTCCATGACCAGAACCGACCCTGCTCCCTTTTGAAACATGCGATCGTGCACCGCCCTGCACACTCACCTTCCCTGACCGGTCAGATCTAGTCCTTCGCGAGCCCCCAACTAGAGGAGTTCCTTGACCTGCCCGATGGGTTAGTCCCAACGCTTTTGGCACAAGTCATAGGCGGTTGGACTTCCGCTCGAGCTTGCGCAAGCGCACAGTGGGCGAACATAGCGATCAAACTGAGTAAACATGTCACAAAGGGTTCCGGTTTGTTCGGCAACAGAGACACTGTCTGTCGGACAAGCCAACCAACTAAATACCCTGAGACCTGCTGTGTCCTCTTCCCATTCTCCCCAAACCTTCGGCCTCAATCCAACTCAGAACTCATCCTCTAGGTCACACCATTTACGTTGTGCCACATAATCAAATTACACCAATGCAGATTACCCCTTCACAACTTTCACCCACTATGTCCCTGTTCTCCTTTGTGGTCCACCAACTCCCACTCCGAATCCCCACTACCCTCATCATCTGAGGGGCAGACGGCAACTTCCCAGCGAAGTGGTCTCATGCCCCGTTCCTCCATGCAGTTTGCTTGATCATCGTCCCAACATACCCACACGTCCTCATAACTTTCACTCACGCCTTTCATGATCCGTGTTGCCCATTTTTGCTGCGGTACATCAAACCGGAGGTCGTATTGGATCTCCGACTGTGCTATGGCCTATCGGGGCACCAAACACTAGACTGGCGCCGTGCCCTTCTCTAAGAACCAAACCATGGTTACTTTTTATAGTTCCCGGATGGGTGCGCCAAACACCATCTTTGCAGCCTCCTGCCGTGCCAAATGCCGTGTTGTGGCACATGTCACCAAGGCATTCACCTTTGTGCATAGTCTTGCGCTCTCAAGCTCTGCACGCGTCTGTTTTGTTTGCACTTCAGCGTCAACGCCTTGACTGCGCATCCTCTGTACTTCTTAATCTCATGCTTGAATGTCCCTCCGCAGTCCAACGTATAGCGATGGAGAGGGGTAGACGGTAAGGCTATCCTCCATGGTCTAATAATGCCTGACGGAACACTAAATCTTCCAGTATAGTGTCCCCTCGAGCGGCCATCCCATGTGCCACTCTTTGACCCAATACCCAGCCTCTGCAAGCTCCCACTTGAGATCACGTTGCCACACCACCAGGGGCTGCGCGGTCCTTGTCATGGCGGTTTGGGCTCAAGCGCAACCAAATGGCAAGTGAGAACAGCTTGCGAGCTGTTTTGTGCACGGTTTCCGCCACATCCTTCGGTGCCATGTCCTTGTGTCTAATGGGATCTCGTTGACAATCCATGTCGGTCATGTCGGCATACCGCAGAGTCCCAAGCGATCTGCCGGTATAGCAAGGTACTGATATGAGATTGTTGGTGGTGTGGGGTGCCTGCTCTCTTTAAGCTGCAAACCCGCCTTGCCGGGCCCCACACCAGGAGACCTTGGCAGGGCGTCCCCCACGTTACGCCTACGTGTGTAATAGGTGCGCTATACTATCCTTCTGATATCCTTTCTACTGGGTACAACAACGTACTATCCTGGTTCAGTCAAAGCAACCCCATGTCAATAATGTTCTACGAATTGTGTGACACCTTTCCTACATGCTCATTGCAGAAAATGTCATTCTGATATGATTGCAATGGTGGCATACCTGGGTAATCCCATTCAGTGGGGTTATTGGCAATGGTAATGATATGAACAAGCACCGTAAACGTTCAAAGATGACTTTTCATTACATTTTATTTTGCGGTGACTCGAACAATGTTATTTTCTTTTATTATGTTGCTCTTCAATAATTTTACAAGAGCAAATATCTAGTTTATTGTGTTCTCTGGGGAAAAAGCCAAGAGGTACGTTACTATGCAGGAGGGTTGAATATACCATGGTATGAGAACAAAATTTGCATGGTTCTATATTCGCTTTTTGACAGTGCTCTGTGGGGTCTTTGGCGATTGGCTCCATGACTCCAACGAAGCCGTCAAGGTACACCCAATGCATGTTTTGGCAATACAATCGAGCAATCGTGTGCCTGAGTGTGTGGCAATTTGAATGCATGATTGAATGTGTACTGGATCATTGTCGACAATATATAGATTCATCTTGCATGAATTTGAGATGGTAATTAATGATCAAGAATTTCATGGCGGACAAATTCCTTCAGGTAGTACTTTCATGAGTACGAAGCTTGAGTCACGCCGCATTTTCCAACGTCTGTAGGTACATACTGGTAGTAAAACAGGATACTAATGGAAAGTACAGATAGCTATGGGGCCAACTATAACACCGCTGTGCTACCTTATTATGTATACCAAGTACCAATGCTTGTGCATTACGTACAAATAAGAATAAATGCAATGGCCTTGAAATAGCATATGTATAGCCAACAATAATCTGGACAGCTAACAAGTGTTTCAACGCTAAGCCATTCGAAACTTCGATGAGAAGCATGGTTACCCAATACTTATTACCAATCGTCGGCCAATCGCTGTTTTTTTGAGCATACACATGTTCTGCAGGAGAGATTCTCCAGCCGCCGGAGCACTATTTTCTGTGTCACCGCAAAGTACAAGCTCAACTATCTAAACTGTTTGCAGCGAAATCTGCTCGTGAATCCCAAATCCAAAGTATAAGATGTGCATTATTGCTGGATGTATGAAGTGATCAGCGAGTTGTAAAAATACAATTTCACATCTGTGTCTTCAATTTTGTGCAGGATAACCTGACGGCTGCTCCAGGGATTCGCTTTCCATCTCCAATTGTCTTCAAAGCACGCAACACCAACAAGTCGTGTGAGGGGATTTCTGTCTCTGAAGATTTTGCGCTAACCTCCAAGGATTGTTTCATTTCTCTTGGGCCCCAGCCACACATTTACGTGGCAGAGCTGAATGGAACTGGAGGCTGGAGGCTACGCACAGTTCAGGTAATGTACACGCGGCCTGCTGGCTGTGGCCAAGCTCGCATGTCATTGTATGGGGTGAATGTCTGTCGCTCTCCGCATGTATTGACATGCTTTTGTGGCACACATGATCGTGTTTTAAATTACATGTGTCGTAATTGGCAATATATGGCGCTTGCAATTGATTTCATGACTTGCGATGTTTTCACCATGATGTAACGGATCCTTTCAGGATTGAGTCAACATGGCAGTGAATGTGACTGGGACGTGAGAACATGTCTGTGTCCGGGCAGATGCATTGGAGCGAGAAATGGCGCTTGTTAGATCGACATTTTCACCCGATGTATGACATCGCACTGGTGGAGCTTCTCGCACCCACACCAGCGACGATCCCTGTCTTCTCGTCTAACATGACCATTGCTGACATCCCGCCAGATGTGCCGCTGTACGCGCTGCTAGCGTCGATCGGTTCAGAGTACACCCATCTTCGCCTCATGAACAGAACCGAAGTTCAACTAGCCACCGAAGGGGGCAATTCCAGGCGAATGGGGCAGTGCAGCAACACCAAGTGCGTCCAGCAGCAGGGTATGTCAGCACCGTGACATGATACGCGCATGGGACAGTGCTTCAGTGCTTGCAGTGGACACCATAAGTGTGTTTGGGGACGGGGCTTGAGGGCAGCAAATGTCTGCAACGCAGATGGAGTTGTGCCGTTTGACCAGTGGTACACTCAACTGTGCCAATGCGTGCCGTGCTCGGTACGCTCAGTACTTGGTACATTCGCGTCGCAATCACCTTCCTGTTCTGTCAAATGATCTTGCGCACTAATAGATGAAAAGATGGCAATCTTCTGTGGGCACCAAAATCTTTGCTTTGGGCGAATTTGCCGGGAGTTAGTAGATGTCATCCAATGGCATGCATTTTGGTGTTGCCTTTGTTCGTGCTTCTTCTCCACTTACCAATTTGCTGTACACCAGATGGCATCCAGTACGAGCCCTAGTAACTGCCAAATGCCAGTCTCATATTACCCAGTCCAGACCAAGCGCACAAATTAAACAATCTTAATGTAAGCGCTGTATTTGCTATTACATGCACAAGCATCCATGCGTTTTCGAGCATCATGAGATTCTATTGAGAGCATCCACAACTCTGTTCACTTTCTCCATTTGAATGCTTTCCGCGAATAGGGTGAAAGTTGCCTCTCTGAATCTCGCAAGACACAGCTTCAAGCAGAGATTCCCGAAATTGCTCTACGGATCGCGTTGTGTATTTCGTGGGGTCGACATGCTTCCCTCTGGCGCAGAGAGCGCCGCATCCCTTGACAGACATTGCAAATTCGGCAATACTGCATAAATTAGAATATACCATTCGCATCCTTTTCCAAGCATCCATGCTGGCAGAGTGGATACAAGATTTGGCGCAGAGAGGTTTGGCCTTGAACACACTGAACAAGTTGAAAACGGCAGCAATAGCGATGGTTGACTAGCAACGTTCTCATCAGCTGTTTCAACTGACTTATCCAGCCGTTATCTTTTACGCCAACTCAATTTGGTTGTATTTCCTTCCCGATGTACCAGCAATATTGCAATCGATGCAAGACGACGTGTATCGACAGTCCAATAAGCTTACAATTTAGTACAGATGTTGAATAGAGAATTTCGCCGTCTGCACTTGGCCGTGGGCAGAGCGGCGCTCAGCCTGTGCGTTGTGCCGCGCTGCAGCCCCGGGAGCTCCACTGATGTTGCTGGACTACCCCCCCCGCCAGAAGGACCCCATCGATGACGGCTCGCATGAGCACGACCTGGTGGTCGCGATGGCCACGACGGACGCATGCGGCTGTACGAGCTACGTGTTGATGCGCGATGTGATGGGATGGGTCAGGGAGACGATTGCGGGTCACGAAAAACCCCTGATGCAGGTGTGGCGCCCGTTCCATCATGGTGCCCCAAGCTTGTCCTTGTCGTGGAATCTCGAGCAGTGCTCAATCCCCAGGAACATTGCGCTGCAGCTGATTGCCGTTGACTAATAATGATGTCGGCTGCTTGACAGACTGTGGCAGGGATGCTCCTGCATCTCGTGCGAATACCTGTGACCTTGCTGTTCTTTGGTGACACCTGGCGTCACTTGATTGTTGATCCTTGAGGCGTTGTATGATGAAATTTGTATTGGCAATGCGCCACACATCAGCTCCGGACCAGATCTGGTCGTTGTTGTAGTGCGGGCACAGCCATTGACTTTCCTGCTGCTCATTTACAGTAGCGTGTAAATACGCTGCTCAAATTTGAACTGCACGCACTAAAGTTTTGCATGTTTTGTGATGATGTTCATGTGCAAGAAGCAATTTCTTTCTTCTCATGACATTGATTTACCTGATGAAAATAGGAGCTCTTCAATATTTTCGTGCTTGCCTGCTCGCAATGCAAGGCTGTGTGCGATATGCATTTGTCCTGTATTCCAGTTTAATACTTGCAGAGAAGTGTTAAAGAGAAGTAGATTGCATCTGAGCTGATTCTGTACATCTGATTTGATTCGCTGCCCTCTTCGTCTCAATATGTACATTAGGCCATCAAGATTTGGGGAATAATGGCAGTTCATCGCTCACTAACTTGAAGCAAGCGAAGCGCATTCCCTTGGGAAACCAACAGGAAGGATACACACATCGTGTGCATAACTTATGCAGAAATTGTATTCCTAAATAGTATCCTACCGTACATACCGAAAGAAGTTCGCTAACGCTTTTGGAGTGTTTTATAGGCCCTCGAATGGCTCTGCGTAATTGCAGCGATCTTCGCTGTGGGGCCCAAAATTCTTAATTGGCTATGGAGGCCCCCTTTGCGCGAGACTGACGCCACGATGATCACCGAAAGCGACGACCCTGGCCTCATGAGGCCTGATGCTTCCGACTCGCTCGACTCCCCATACACGACCCCCCAAGGTAGTGGTGATGACGATGAAGACGGCTATGGCTATTGCCACAAAGGATGATTTGGCACCAAACTTGCTGAGTCAGCAGTTCAGCAGGCCATGCTGACGTGACTTGGTTCCGACATGCCGAGGCTTGGGCCATACGAGGGCTGGACCTTATGCAGTCGGCGGGGTCGACCTCTCAGTAAGCTCCGCGGAGGGCGCGGCCTTGTGTGACGAATCAGGTCGGCCGGTGAGGGGTTGTGAAGGAAGTGCGGCAAATGGCAATCTGCAGGTACCGGCAGGCCAATGATGCAGTGCTGCATCACTCGCATAGCCAACCCAAAGGAGGTGGCATCCAGGATAACTTGGTCATCCTCGATCGGCTGTGATTCATTCTGGCTTGGCTAGAGAGCTGACAGTTGTCGTATAGTGGATGAGTTTCGAGCCGACCTTCACCAGCTCAGATTTGGTTGTCGCGATTCTCTTCTCATTTCACCGGTTTACTGAGTTCTATTTATCTCAAAGGACCCTGAGTAACTATTCCTGGTCAAATTCGTGGAATGGTGTGTTTGGCAAGACTCGGAAAGTTGAAACCCCGCCCAATTGAGGGAGAACCCTGGTATTACTATTGAATATTTGAAAATGGCTGCCTCGTGTCTCCTGCAAAGTCAATGATGTCAAAATGCTAACCAAAACAAAAAAGTTGCGGCCTTTGTGCCCGACTTGAGCTGGAGGGGATTTTGTTAGGGATTGGGCAAAATATGGCGTGGGTGTGCCCCTGCCTATGGCTCATGTGACGCATTCTCTGCGTTTCGTGACGTCGGCTGGCATCTTGGCCACTGTAATAATTAATAATCGACGCCCGCGGATTCTTCTTCCAAGTGCAGGCGAACACGTTGGCTGGGTAGGGGTGGATGTGGGGGAGTCTTTGAACCGCTATTTGGGGGTAGTTTGGGGAATCCTTGGGTGCATGGGCAAACGCTGGTTGCGTGGGACCTTTGAGGATGCTGTTGCCCTTGTTTAGTCCCGCAGTTGTAAATTTATTAATAATTGGAGCTTGGTTCGTGTGTTGGGAGATGTTAATGTACACCAGCATGAGGAAGACTTTGTCATACGAGATTTTTTTGCTTAAGTTGTACATCTGGAGGCATGCATGGAATCGTATGTTATAAGGTGCTCATATTGCAGCGATCGTTCTTGCCGTTGACAAAGGCAGGCAGGACCGAGGGGTGGCGATCCCTCAACGGGAATTGTACGCTCGAGCCCACGACAACGGCTTACAGCCGAGGCAAAAGGACAACAGGCGTTCTGTCCTTTGTATTCAGTCCGTTCATCAACGTCCTTAATGCAATTCCTAGTGCTTCATCATCTTTCATGCATTCAGTTATTAATAATGCTCCATCAGTTTTAGCTTCAACACCATCCACTGTAACAATATCACACATACGTCGATCATACACGATTTACGTGATCGCCATATGGCAAATTCTTTATAGGATCAATCATTTCACCAGTAAATGGTAAAATAGAGCGCCAGTTCGTGAATGCGATCCTGCCGGTTTTCCTTTAAACATTTAGATCATAATAACATACGCACGACTTCTTGCTCAGTAACTCATTTCCAGTGCTTTCTTCTTTTGGAATTCCATCATTATGTACACCATTCGGCTGATGCTCGATCGGGCCGTGGCAAAGATTGCCCCACTGTGGGGGGTTTGTGTACAGCGTCCACGTTTTACGGACGACATATTGAGCGTGGGCTTGCCCGGACGGCCTGTGTGCTGGCCAGTCGGACTGGCTGAACAAGAGGCCATTCGATGGGCGTTGCAGTGGCTCCGCCACACCAATCACAAACGGGGCTAAAGCGCACTCATATTGTGGTAAAATTCCAAAGAAGAGTGAATGCATACCAGTGTTCTGAAGTACAAGATGACAGGGAAACGCTTGGGTCCTGGTGACAGAAATTGTTTGTCTACCATCCATATTTGAGGGTAGCACAAGAGAATGTGGCACTTACGGACTCTCAAAGCGCCAACATGGACGTGAGCAGTCCCACATATTATATTTCCACAACCCAAATATTAAGATGTGCAGCGCATTGGTACTCTCGAAGCATGAACTTAGACTTGCAAATCATGTTCCGTTGGCCTTGGAACCAAGCAGTACGCAAAACGCGATAAGCGGGTTTGTTTGGGCGCATGGCTTGTACATGGATTCAGGCTTGTTGATGTTATGACTGAAAATGCGGGACAATGAATGTACTCTAAAAGTATTTGCATAACATGTAATCCAGCCAGAACTACTTGTAGCCCTTTGTAATAATTTAACTACCTAAATTCTGTAAATTCTGTATATGGCGTCTCAGTATCTCAGCCAATCGCGGCCAGCATATGTGAACGCCCCTGGTCACACCGTGTCTGGATTCTACCAAAGATCAGATGAGAGCGCCTCATAAAGCAGCGAAAGAGGCTTGCCGTGCAGCGCATTACCTCAAGTGCACAAAGGAGGCCGGCAAATGGCCCCGCGACGCTTTAAGAGAAAAAAAAAGAAAACGTCAGCAGGGGGGGTCGTCATCCCGTTGGCAGGAATGGGGGTTTGTCAGCGGGAATCGGCATCAAACATCTGACGGGTGGTGGTCACATTGGTGCCATCGGTGCATCGGCTGCATGGCTTCATTTTGGCGCTATTGGCAGAAAGTGTTCCAGTTGCATCTGTTTCTTTCAGAGACTGTCGGGCATAGGACATCCGGAAAACTTGCGAAAATTGGCCAAGGTCAGAGGAGGTTGGGGTTTTCGAGCACTCACGTGTGGGTTGCAATGCCATGTACATGTTGAGCAACATGTTTCAACAGTATAGTTGCCAGTTTGAGGCAGCGGGCAGGGTTGCCATGGACTACGAAGATACGGACAGTGATTGTATGAATTTGTATCACATTAAGTTTGCAATTGAAGGACACTGCAATATCTGACTGTCGCTTATCTCCATTTCAAATAGTGAAAAGCGCACGTCTTCCACATTTTTTTGTAGGCATATCCGTATTTGCCACGCGTGAATTGCACATGTTAGAATGCAGCTCTACAGATCATTCATAAATCTGTTTGGCAGCTCCGCAGCACAGTTTGACTTGCTGCATGACGAGAAACAAAGTGTTTGGCACCTTGCACATGGCTGCTCGATCTATTAAGTGTCTCAAACTGCAACTGCATTCCACCTCTCGCAGTCCTTGGCAAAAATCCATTAATACTGGGCATTAATCCATTATATATAGTTAATTTCATTTCCCAAATGGAGAAGACGGTGCGACGCTGGTGAGCTGGACAGCCCGTTGGTAGTAGCGGTCAGTCTGCCTGGGGGCTCAGGAGGCCACCATCATTGCCAGGGTGGCGGCTGCACCGTTGAAATGAGCGCCCTCGCGTTGGGTTTCCGCCACACACCTGCTTTAATGGACAGTTGCATCCACCACAGCCCCAGTGCCGCTCGGCGCTTCTGGGGGCACAGCCCACTCTTTTCCTTCCTCGGGCTGCCGGTTGTGCCCGTCAGGTGAACCGGAACGCGATCTCTGGCTCCCCTCTGGCTATCGCCAGCTCGTGCGGCGTTCAAGACCTCTCTTCTGATCCTGGGCAGCAGGATGGCGGCCACCTGGGCGCGTCCGGCTCGGATGGGGCCCGACAAGGGCCGCAGGAGGGCCAGAACACCCTCGGAAGCAGGTGACCCTGCTATGTGTGGCAACAGCGGTATCAGATCTCTGATGGGGGGTGGAAAGGGCGTCCTGCAGTTCTGGGTCAATTTTCGCTGGCCGCATGTGGCCTGGGGCTGCTGTGCGGCGCGCCTTGCCGGAAACGGGCTACCACCGATGATTTTTGGTGCCACGGAGGGCGCGTCGCCTACCTGGGGCTGCATCATTGCATCGGCAGTCGTTTGCCGTGGATCGGCGAGGGAGGGGGGCGCGCCGCAATGGGGCCATAGCATCTTCGCACATGCTTCCCTTCAGATCTCAACTTGTGTCGATGGTCCAATTCCCTTTTCTCAAGGCGAGCAGCGACATGCCAATATCTTCTTTCGAAACAGAGGCGCCGCCGTCTGCAGATCAGCCCGTTTGACAGCATGCTTGCGAACCGCGGAATGCCTTGCATTGTCGCTCCTGCGCAACGGGCAAGATCTGATAAGGCGATTGGCACGCGGGCCCTAGTGCAGCTGCAACTGTCAATATTGTCGTTGATTGCTGACCTTATTCTTCGCGGCAACCACCTTTTGCGCTGGAGATGATCCCGATGTGTTGAATTCCGCCGGCAGTCTCTCCGGACGAGGAAGCATGCGGAGTCCTCGCTTATTAAGTGGGGCCTGTCCGTGTCACCCCGCCTAAACGCACCTCCGCCGATTGGAGACTCTGTTGTGCTGCGTGGCGCTCTCCACAGCCTTTTATCTATGGCGTGGGGACACAGATCCGCAGATCCGTACCTCCACATGTCCTTCAGTTGTGATGTAAGGTCTCGCTGCCGACTTGAGACCTCCGGTTAGGGGCTGGGACTATATCTTTTCGCCGTCAGGTCACCTAGCCTCAGCAAGAGGCCAAGTCACGTTCTCCAAAGCCCACCCATCTCAATCATCGTTCAGGGACCCTTGATAACCGGCCGCGACCCACACTCAGATGAGGATTCCTGGTTGGTTGCTGCAGCAGTTGTTGCGCGTATGTTCCGTTGAGGAAATTCTGCTTTGGGGCGCATCCTGCGGCTTGTTCGATGGTTGCTTCTTCTGGGGAGCTCACGGGGAAACGCGGATTTCTGTTGTCCTGATGTCTCGAGTGATTGACTGTCCGTTCAACTAGTTATTCCATTGACCAGTGATTTGTTTATTCTATGATCATTTATTCATTTGCTATTTGTTTATTTGTTGTTGGTTGAGATGTTTACAAACTTACCTACATATTGGTCATTCTGTTATGCTGCTATACGTGCAAATTTCTCCACTTGGATGACTTTGGGGTGGCATGAGAATTATCTGGTTTGCTACCCAGGCCTGTGCACTCATAGAAGAGGTCGAGAAATGCGCTGCAAATTAATTCATTTAAGGGAATCTTG